GATAATTAATGAATAATATAGACAATTAATAGATTATTAATGGATAATTAATGGATTATTGATAAGTAAACACAAGTAGATGTAATAATTAATAGATAATTAATGAATAATATAGACAATTAATAGATTATTAATGGATAATTAATGGATTATTGATAAGTAAACACAAGTAGATGTAATAATTAATAGATAATTAATGAATAATATAGACAATTAATAGATTATTAATGGATAATTAATGGATTATTGATAAGTAATCAATAATAAATGACAAGTAAAAAGTTAACAAAGAATGCATTAAGAGCTAAAAGTAACTGTATTCAGATCTCTGGTCATTCCTACTCAATAGCCTCTCGAATAATTTGAATCCTAAATTACCGCCTACTCAATAACTGTTGGGTTAATACCATAGATCTTGCTACCCATAATGCACCTTTGAAATGTTGTGATTTCAACATCAAAGAAGAGGACAATAGTTTGAATAATGTAAATAATATCAACATAATGAGGAAGAGGGCAACCACATCTTCACTTCAAAATTGACATGAGAGCAATGGTCATCGAGAGATGAGAAGACATCACCAATGATCGCTCACACTGGAGACGCAATTTACACTAAGGGCTGGAGAGAAGAAACGGATGCTTGTCGCTGGGGTGAAGTGTGTTCAAGGGAAAGAAAGCACGCTGACATCAAGGGAGTCTTTGCATGCATTTCTTGCAATTGAGACTGCCACTTTAATGTGGGCCTGTACAGCCATAACAGATGCCACACGACCATCAGCAGCTGAGGCATAACTTTTTGAGTGCAGATCTATAATCTCACAGGACTGGATGTCCTACACCAACATAATAGATTTTTGCTGATAGTTCTCATGATGGGTATCTGGGGTTTGTATATTTGTACCCCAGCAACAGTCTATCAGCAGGCTGCTCTCTCACAAAGTGTAGACTTTTGATGAACTGGAATCTGATCTCTTACAGTGATTTTTTTTTTTTTTTTTTTTTTTTTCCGAGCAAAGCTTAGATGTGGCACAAGGCCAAAAGAATGGGGCACTCAGTGAGGATCAAACTCAAACTCACTACTCAGTAATTGTTCTAGCGAGGCAAGCTTGCTAACCATTACACCACCTCTAGGTACCCAATCTGATCTCCTATATATGTGTTTCTGCGTGGCAATTATCTATAGTACCACATTCATCTTTGCTCTCTATCCCTTTTAGGACTTATTTAATCTTCAACCAAATATCAGAAGATTGATTTTATCCTCACACAATTTCCCTTGGCCAGCTTTCATATCAGCAGTGATTTCAATATCCTCCATAAAGGGCTAGTCCACTCCAACAAAGCCAATGTTGAAGGCAGATATTGCAGAGACTTCTCCATTGCCTATGAACTAAGCCAGATCATTGGAGAACCTACCCATGTCCCAGATGAGAAGAGACATCAGGCGAACCTCTTCCTAACCTCCTGCTCTGATAAATGCTTAGCAAAAGTTTTACCTTGACAAGGTAGATCAGACCATTCCCTAATTAATGTCCAGATTGATGCCAAACTTAAAGCATCTCCTGATGTACTGTCCCAGTAAACAATTTTTTGCTATGTGAAGGCCAACTGGTACATCTTTTGATTCTATATGATGGAAGCTCCCCTCCCAAGCTTCTTCAAGCATGCTGCCTCCAAAACTACTGCCCTTGTCACTAATTGGATCCTTTCTGGAATAAAGAGTTTTACATCCTCGCAAAAATTTCAGTAAAACCCAAACAGTCAACCCTGGTTCACTCCTGAATATACTGTAGCCATAACTCAGTGAAACCATGACTTCAATATCTGCTGCAAGGCGTGATGTAGTTCAGCTTTCACTGCATTCAAAACTGCCTGAAATCACTGCAAAAAGTTCTAGAAAATGTCACGTTCAGCTATGCACTAGCAGTTCAACCAGTGCTAAAGCAGCCATGCCTGCAGTTATAAATAGGGACATGGTCATATCTTCTTCAACAGGTAAGGCAAACCTCTTCACCTCTATCTTTGCCTCTAACTCAATGTTAGACGACAAAGACCATCCTCTCCCCAACTTCCCATGTCTCACTGAGCACAATCTCAGTAATATTACCATTACAGCATGAGAAGTCTCTAGACTAATTAAAGGCCTTGACCCTAAGAAAGTCACTGCTCCAGACAAAATTACAGTGGTTGTCCTTAAGAATATCAACCCAGAATTATCCCCAATCATAGCAAAGTTATTCAACTGCTGCTTGAAAGAGAAATTGTTCCTTAGCCTGTGGAGGGTGTCGAGCATATGCCCAGTTTTCAAGAACATGGGCATGCAATCTTCTCCCTCCCAGTATAAGCTCAACAGTCACCTCAGTATCATCAGGAAGCTTTTTGAGGTCATAATCAAGAAGGTTGTTGAGCACCTACAAAAAGTACAACCTCTTCAGCGACAAGTAGCATGGGTTTTGGTTGGCTCAATCCATTGTCGACTTCCTAATTACAATCTCTCAGAGAATCAGAGGCTCTTGACAAAAACATACCTCGAGGACCATAGCATTAGATATCTCAAAGGCCTTCAACAATGTGTGGCACAAAGGTTTACTATACAAGCTCTCCATTTATGGAATCACTAGAAGGGTCTTCTTTGATCATAAAATCCTTCCTAACAGAAGATAGTTATTAATAGTCAGTCATCGGGGAACCTAGCGGTCAACATGGGTCACTCCTTGGACCGACCCTCTTTTTGATCTACATAAATGATCTGCCTAAGAATATACTCAGATCATTTGTAAACATTTATGCCAATGATATGACTATATACAAGCGCGCATCTAAAAGTTTTGATAGAGATTAGCAACTTGATCTACCTTCCGATCTTGCACAAACTACCCAATAGAGTAAAAACTGGCTGGTTACATTAAAGCCTCAAAAACCAAGCTAGTTATATTCTCAGAAGCACCTTGCCTTGAAAGACTATTGGGCCTGACACTCACACCAGACCTCAAGTGAAACTCTGACATATGATCGATCACTAAAGATGTAAGAAAGATGGTCTGTTCCTTGTACCACACCAGTAAGCACTTGATTCTTCTTGCTATCCTCTACTTTTACAAGAGCCAGATCAGGCCAAAAATGAAGTACTATTGCCATATATGGGCTGGAGCTGCACAGTCTTCACTTTCTAGTCTTGATAAAGCCGAAAAGTTTCTCTGCTATCCTCTACTTTTACAAGAGCCAGATCAGGCCAAAAATGGAGTACTATTGCCATATATGGGCTGGAGCTGCACAGTCTTTGCTTTCCAGTCTTAATAGAGCCCAAAAGTGTCTCCGCTATCCTCTACCTTTACACGAGCCAGATCAGGCCAAAAATAGAGTACTATTGCCATATATGGGCAGGAGCTGCCCAGACTTCACTCTCCAGTCTTGATATAGTCCAAAAGCAAGCCCTTGTAGGTGATGGATTATTCTTGACCCTCCAACCTCTCTTCTAAAGGAAAAATTTCATGACAAGGACACACTGTGCCACTTACATAGTATCAAACCACTAACATTCCCTTCATATTCCATTGGTGAAAAGTAAGTTCCACTTGAACAGTTTCATCCAGTGAATCACTGCTCTGTGGTACCAGCTCCCAAGAGGATGTTTCCTTGATCACCACAATCTTAACCTGTTCAAGGCTAGGTTTAATTGTTATCTTCCACTTCTATTCACACAAATGGCCTCATAAAGTAACACTCTACCTTGAGTGGGCTTGTGGGCTTTGTAAAGGGTGAACCATACTTTAAAAGAAAAACAGTTATTTATGAATAAAAATGACAATAGGAAAACTGGTAATTGCTGACGCATTTCGTCCAATGTGGACTTTATCAAGGCAAAATACAAAAAAGTTTTTTTTTTTTTTTTGTATTTTGCTTTGATAAAGTCCACATTGGACGAAACATGTCAGCAATTTCCAGTTTTCCTATTGTCATTTTTATTCATAGATATTGTCTTCTCTACTGGTTAAATCGGAGAAATTTTCACAGAAACAGTTATCTGTGATTGGACTATAAATAGCCAAGAGGAGTCACAGTGCATAATTAAAAATGAGTAAATTTGTCGCTGACGGATGGCACACAAGTTGATACCTGATCAGTATTGTCTGGGTCACTTTATGATGTTGAAAGACCCAAAACCCCTATTGAACTTCAATTAAAAGCATCACTGATGATACATGCCAAAGCATCAAATGGAAATTATAAGAAGAAAAAGTTTGAGGAGAGATTTTGATTTTTCTATATCTAAGCAAATAAACAGATTGACTTTTGGGACACAGGTTTGTTAGGACAAGAAAGGCTGCAATGAACAGTTGCCTTTCATTGTGTTCTTCTTCATGGCTGAGTTTTTCAAAAAAGGGGTTGAAATCAACCAGAGAGCAAATATGATCATATTTTGACAGATGATGCACTTTATCCTATAAACTGTATCTAAAGTCTACTCAGCCTAGTTGCAGTATAAAAGCCAGACATGGGCTTTTATGGATGCCGAACAAAAGACAAATGTGCCTGAGTAGGCATCTGCAGCAGATTTTGGCAAGATGACTTATAAGATGATTGGGCCTGGAAGCCAGTCACCACCAATTCTGCACACACACACACAGTGTCTCTTATTAAAATTACTGGATTTGTGATTTGAAACTGTAAATGTAAGCAAAGAAATTTCTTTCAAGTTAGCAGTTATTTCAGTTTTATTTTGATATCCCCAAATTCCTCCTTTTCTCCACCTCTTCTCTTCTCCTCCTCCACTCCTCCTCCTCTTCTCCTCTTCTTCTCTTCTCTCCTCTTCTCTCCTCTTCTCTTCTCCTCTTCCTCTTCTCTTCTCCTCCTCTTCTCTCCTCTTCTCTTCTCCTTCTCCTTCTCCGTCTCTTCTCCTTCTCTTCTCCTTTCCTCTTTCCTTCACTTTTTCAAAATTTGTTATTATTGATTGTCTAAATTCTTATTAATGACTATTTTTTCTTTCTCTTTTCCAGTTTTAGACAATGAACATGGTGGTCATGAATGGTGGGATTATGTTACTGTACGTCCCCATGCACACATGTTTTACTGGGTCTATGAACACAAAGATGTAGATAACAAACCACTTATCATGTGGTTACAGGTGTGTACATACCATTACCTTTTTTTTTTTCTTATCCGTTTAAAAATCAAAGTGGAGATGGCACGTCTTGTTTGAATTACCGTCTGATGTCATAGAATCACATGTAAAAGTATTGGACATTGAAACATAATTTTTAATGTCACTGCAATCCTAAAAACAAATATTTAAGGTACTATATATCAAAGCAGAACTATGGAATTTTTATTTTACTAGTATTTTTTTGTCAGAACTTCAATTTTGGGACTCTGCATCTACCTGTGGTCATGTGACCTATTACAGGGTCGATATGCATTATATCAGAAACAAACACCTGCTCATTGCTGTTACTGTCCTGAGAGTGGTACAGTGATTCACTATCAACGTTCGCCCACACGCATACATGAAGTAGTTAGAATAAAGGTAAAGAAAGAGGAGGTAAAGAAAGAGGAGGGAGAAAGTGAAGAAAGAAAAAACAATTTTCTTAACTATGAGATAATGGATGGATTAGTTTTTCTTTCTCTCCTTTAATACACAAGTTGTAGTAGCACATGACAATACACAGTGTGAGTGTAATTAATATATATATATATATATATATATATATATATATAATTTTTTATGAAAATCTAACAAAGTGTGAAAAATTTTCATTTGACATGTTTTATTATTTAGAACTTTATCAGACTAAAGTTATGTTCATGGTGACGTAATTACACGTGTATGAAGCAGAAGCAATGCTGAAATTTTAAAATTTAATTTCTTTTTTTTTTTTCTCTTTTAAATGTGTTTTGAAAATATGATCCCGTCATTTTCATTTTTCCCACTTTTTCATAGATTTTCCTTAAATCTTTCTTGATGCATTGTTCCAATGATCATTCTTCCTTGGTACCTAGATTTTATGAATTTAAGTGCAGTACTAAATTGGCAGCAAGGTCTCATCATTTTACAGTTGAAATGGCTAGATATAAACATAAGTTCTCTACTAACAATTTTTTCTCTCACACTTCTTGCTTGTGGAACTCACTTCTGGCTTCTTGCTTTCAAGCCAGCTTTGATTTTCAAAAATTTAAATGCAAGACGGATCATTATCTTTTGTCTTCTTAAATTCTTTTTTTAAATTTTCTTTTATTGTTTTTTCTCAAAAATGTATTCTTTTTCTCATTCTTTCACATTCAGTAACCCCCCTTGCGTCTTAGTGGCTTTATTGCCTTGCTTGAAGAGAAACAATTACAATCTAAATGCAATGTTAATCATAATATATCTTAATTCCTGTTTTATTGTTCTCTCTCCTTAATGTTTTTCTTTTTCTCATATTCTTTAATATTCAGTAACCCCTTGTATCTTAGTGGCTTTATTGCCTTGCTTGGGGTGAAATGATATAATCTTGTGTAAAATTTCAGATATAATTAAAATGTATCTGTAAAATGATAATGAATAAAGATAGATCAATAAAGATCGGATAAAGCTGATCCGTTTCATTTTGTGATGGACTTTATCAAAGCAATTATAAGGATTTTGTTTTGCAACAAGTATTTATAAACAAAATTAAAAAGGTTAGTTATTCAAAGTTTTTAAATTTAAGTGATGCTCATAAATATTCATGAGGTTAACTGAAAAGTCAAGATAAACTATGGAGGATGCTAAGTGACATAATTTAAAGCCTAATAAACAAAAGTGCATAAATGATATTATTATTGAAGACTTTTATTTTATGCAATATTAAAATTATTTTAGTTTGGGATAAGTTCATATATTATATATTTTAAATATCCAATTCTAACAATATTAAAATAATTACAATCACATCCCAAACTATTAAGGATATGATCAGAACTAAAAATATCCATAACAATAATAATTCTCAAGCAGGTATCTATAACATTATTTGAACTATTGTCCTCATCTTTGTCGCCATATTTATTACAACATTTCATGGCCTTCTTCAGGTGGTTGGAATATCGAACTGAACCCTTTATTTTGCTCCCTGGGGTAGACTGTTCTAGTTCCACATGCCATGTTTAATGGATGTCAGTTATCTCCTGTTAATTTCCCTCTGAAAGATCTCCACTGCCTTAGCCGGGTATTGAACTCACACTCTGGGTCCTGTCTGGGTCCTAACACCTTTATCCACTGTAACCTAACACCTTTTTTATCCACTGTCACCAGATGTAACTAACACCTTTATCCACTGTCACCAGATGTAACTAACACCTTTATCCACTGTCACCAGATGTAACTAACACCTTTATCCACTGTCACCAGATGTAACTAACACCTTTATCCACTGTCACCAGATCTAACTAACACCTTTATCGATTGTGCCATGTGTCCTTGGGTATTATAAACCTAATGTCTTAAGCAACCATTTTTACCAGTGCTCATATTGCAATTTTTGCTGTTATTATTATTTCATGTTTTTACCAGAGCTCATATTGCAACAAAGATGAGGACAATAGTCCGAATAATGTAAATAATGTGCATAATACCTCATCTTGGAAACATAGATACAAAAAAATTATAAAAAAAACCCAGCTGACATGCATTTAATGGATGACAGAATTTGTTGAAAAATACACCCCTACCCTTCCTAAACTTAACCCCTTTTTCAAACATAACTAATAACTGATACAACAAAAGTTAATAAAAATGAACACACTACCACCCCTTGTCTGAATGATTGAATTTCTCTGTATCCTTGGAAACAGTGAATTATGATTATTCTGTGCTTTTAAAACTCAGTAAATTTAAAAAATAAGTTACTCCAATATTCACGTGAAAATGAAATGGAACTAATGTTTTTAATTACAAAATTGAATTTGAAGTTTTTAGCTTCCATTTTTGAAACATGGTTATTACTGTGTAGCAAAAAAAAACTATATTTTAAATCAGTTAATTTATAATATTTATGCTCTGTAAATTTACATTGAGCACTGTTTTGTAAAAATAAAAAATATCAATAAGAACACCGGATTATATATCTTACTGTTCTTTCTTATATATATATATATATATATATATATATATATATATATATATTATATAAACAAGTATGATTGAGGATCTATAAATGTAAATCTTAAAAACAATGCATTGTTAATCTTTTTAATTAATCAATAATTAAAAATATATTTAAAAATAAAATTCCAAGCTTTCTGTTCATAATGAAATGATGCTTTTTGGAATCTAACATCAAGATATTTGTGCAAGCCTTTATCTATTAAAAGCAGACTCTGGAAACTAGTTGTTTTTCCCTTCCATCATTGATGAGTGTTGTAATCCATTCTGTTTTTATTAGAGGACTTCCTAAAAGCAGCATTTTTTTTAGGGAATTTAACTAATATATTTTGGCAAATTTATAGTCACAATGACTAGAAATCAGGGCCAGCAAACTTCTGCTATTTCACAGCCGTGTTCAGTCTTTTCTTCCTCTCTATACTTGAGGATTGCTTTCTCATGAATTGAGCGAGACATATATAGAGGAGAGAGAGATAGATAAAGAGAGATGGATTTTGTTTGAGGAAAGCAAATGCCTTATTTTCATTTGGACTTTTTTTTTTATCTGGACTAACTACATTCTGCTTCTTTCCTCTGAGTTGTTTTCCTGAGGTCAATAAAACATACTAAAACTAACTTTAACATAAAAAAAATTATAAATTCTGAATAAAATTTTCGCTTAATTTGCAGTATAAGCACCGAAAAGCTCCCGTTAATCAGAATGTACCAGTCTGGTGTAAAATCGCCTGATTATTTTGAAAATGACATTAAAACATTGCGCTCGATTATCATTTAGAAGTTATGGACAATGTAAGTTTGATCTCTTTTGCGTTGTCTGCCCGCCATTACTGGTGCTGTTTACATACGTTTGGCTTGAGTAATAATGCGCGCAAACTTACTTAGTTAATGGCCTTTTTACAGCTTTTCATATCTTACACATCTTGATTACTGCACAATTTTCGCATTTGTAATCTTAAAATGAACTTATTTTTATTTTAAAATGCTTTTTTAAAATGAATAATTTTTATCTATATATTGGTTTAAATTTTATTATAGAAACAATTGTAAAAAAAATAGAAAACATTGAAGAAAATAAAGAACTTTGTTTTTTAATCCTTTTGAGTTTTGATTTTAATTTTCGTCTTTTCATATTAACTAATATATTTGGAATCGTCACGTTTTTTTTCCTGTTGTGTTACCTTTAAAATTTCACACATTGCGCAGTAATCAACACAAGTGAAAACTTCAGCTCGTGCCTATTTGAGGCAAACCTATAAACAAAGCCAGTAATGGCGGTCGTTCTGTCTACGCGATGAGAAAGAAGCCGAACTTACATTGACGATAAATCGTAAGCAGTAATCGAGCACAATGTTTTAATGTCATTTTTTAAACAATCAGGTAATTTCACACCAGAATGTTACATTCCCATTACTGGGGGCTTTTGTTGCTTATACGCGGTGTTTAATCATGTTTCCCCCAAGAGAATGAACTGTGACACAAGGTCTTTTTAATGTGGGGATCCAAGCGCGTACACTCGGGCAGGGAGAAAAAATTCCCCACAGCCCCCGCAACCGTCGGTTGCGCTGGCCTCGGTTGCGCTGGCCTCGGTGCAAGCACTGATACCATGAGAGGGCGCGGCCTCGGGCAGCTGTTCCCCAGGGCTTAGTATAATCTTCTCAGTTGCCCCACTGTCCTTTGACAGAGGAGTCAATGAGTGCACTCTGTCCAAATTGATTTTTTTATTTATTAATGTATTTTTGGACACAGCATTACCATTTTTCTTTGACTTTTTCTTTCATTGAACAAAAGAAAATAAAAAGCATAAAGTTTTTGTTTTTTTTTTGTTGTTGAATCGGACACATTTTCAACACATCTGATTAAAATTTTTTTCTCTAGAAACACTTAGATTTTGCCTCTAGAAACACTTAGATTTTTTCAATCAGATTTCCTTTGCAAGTGTCGGTCGGCCTTGTTGGCCATTCCTTGGTCTAGTGACCTTTCACAGCCTAGGAAGGTCTTCTATCGTC